AGTCCCTCTGTGCAAGGGGGGGGGAAAGTTCCCTAGCCCATCTCTCTCCCGGGCCCCCAAGTCCACCCCCAGGCCCCCAAGTCCCCTTGAGTCGCCCCAGGGACTCAGGCATGGGAGGATGGGTGAGGCCTCCCCACCACCAGAACCCCCTCCTGCCTTTCCAGTTTCCCCACAAACCTTGGATAGATCCACCAGCATGTTGGCTTGGTCGCTCAGCTTCCTCTGCTCCAGCTTCACGCTCCTCAGCCTGGAAGGCAAAATCCTGGCTCAGCCTCCTCCTCCTCCTCCTCCTCCTCCTCATCATCATCATCGGGAGAAAAGCAGGGGGGGGAGGGAGGAGCGGCTTCCCCCTCCCCTGCAGACAAACCCACCCACCCCTCAGGTTCAGAAGCTTCCCTGGGAACCCCCCCCCTCTTCTTCTCTCTGGGGAGGGCAGGGGGGAGAGGACCCTTCCCCCACCCCCAGCTGCCTTTCTGCTTCCCTTCACTTCTCTGTCATTTCTGCCCCCCTTGGGGTCCTTCGCCCGACCCCCCCTCCCAGGCAGCAGGACCTGTGGGATTTCCACCTAGGCAGCCTAAACCTCTGGGTCTTGCAGGCAGACGACGGAAGGGAAAAGTCTCTGCCACAGAGCGGCCATGTTGCCAGTCAGGATGCTGCCCACGAGCCCACCTTTAGGGGGCAGAATGGCCCCCAGGCGCTTTCTCCTCTGGGGGGCAGCCACGGGGACGGGGGGGGGAATCCTCTGTGGCCCCAGCTGACCATTCAGAAACATTTTGCAAACCCCTCACCCCCTCCTGGGTCCCCAGGCCCCTCGGAGCTTCAGCCGGGGGGGGGGGGATGAAGCCACGTGGCAGAAAGGGCCAAGGGGGAAGCAGCCGCCCGGCCCTGCCCCCCCTGCCCCCCTTTGGCCCACGGGCAGTGCCTGGTGCTCCTGGTGAGGTCCCGGTCTGCCAAGGCCAGCCACGGGGCTTCCCTGCCCACTGAAGGAGCCCTGAAGGAGAGAGGGGCTCCCTGCCCATCCTCTGCCCCTCCAGCCAAGCTGCCCTCCCCCTGGCACCAAAAGGCTTCTCCCGAGAGCAGCCTTTCCTTCACAGCCACGAGGACTGGAAACTTAGCATGATGGGCCTACTCCTTTCCACTTAAAAGCAATCAGAGCAGAGCCGGGAGGGACCTTGGGGGTCTTCTAGTCCAGCTCCCGGCTCAAGCAGGGGAGCCTCAGACTCTCCCCTCCAGAGAGGCAGCAGCTCCCAATTTGGGTGAAGCCCCCTCCCCATTTCTGGACCAGGCCAGGCAGGGTCGGGTTCCCAACACCTGCCTTGAGGGGGGGAGGGCGGCATCGGATGGACCAGATCGTCCCACCCACCCCCTTTAGGGCTCTGGAGTTGATGTGTGGAGACGGGGGGCCCCTGATCAATGGGGGGGGGCAGAGAAGGGGGGGCGAGGCGGGGGGGCAGGAAGCAGGTAAACAGGAGGACTTACTGATGGATGGCTTGGAGGAACTTACGCTGGTGTTTCCGCACCTTGGCATGGTCGAGCTTTTTCACCAGCTTGGTGTGTTTGTAGATGAGCCACGTTTCCCTGAGCACGTTGGCCGCTGAGTTTTTCACCTGGGGAGGGCGGGGTGGGGGCACAGGTGAGAAGGGAAAGCCCCCCCCCACCCGATGGGCAAGGGAACCCATGCGGCTCTTGGAGGGGGGCTCCCTTCCCATGGGATCCCAGGAGGGGCTTGGTGGAGACAAGGGAGGGGAGTCCGGCTTTTGAGCCTCTGAGTGGCCCCAAGGAAAGGCCAGGCAGGGGGGGCACCCACTCCTGCAGCCGAGGCCCCCCGTCCCAAAGCCAGGAGGGGCTGGGAAGACCCCGGGGGAGAAAGGGCTTCCAAGGGGCCAAGGGAGCCCCGGGGGGGGGGACCCGGGGGGGGGGGCAGTGTTGAGAAACACTGTCCTAGACACTGAATTGTTTATA